AATGATATACCGTCGCCAACTGCAAAACCACACTCCCGGGTCGCGGAACATGTGTGTCCTGAGCCCGGCCTCGACACCTCGACACCAAACCTCGACACCGACTCGACACCTCGACACCCCAAAACTCGACACCTCGACACCCCTCGACACCCCTCGACACCCCTCGACACCGCTCGACACCGCTCGACAACGCTCGACACAACGCTCGAACCACCTCGACACCTCTGATGATCCTAAACACAGCTGTTAGAAAATCACCCATTGGAGTCACAGAGTTAGAAGATCATGGTTGCAGCAGCAATCAAACTTGGCTGGCAGTACTTTCATCCCTCAGTTGCAGCCTCTCAAGTTCTAGCCCTGGTTCTAGCTCTAAGTTGCAGCTCAGTTGCACCCCTGTTGATGTAGCAACCATGGCAGTACTCCCAGGTAGCCCTCAGGTGCTGCACAGCACTTGTACAAGTGGCAATGAATCCTCACACCAGTGAGCTTGTGCCATGAGTGCGGACCTGTGGTCTCCATTGCGCTTTGTGCACTGGCGACGCTGCAACGGCGACGCTTGCAGCGGCGGCGACGCTGCTGCGATGGGGTACTGTAGCCCTTAGCTGCTGGAAGGCACCTTGTGCAGTGGCAATGTCCACTGACTCATGGCACCAGCCTTGTGCCATGTTGAGCGCTGTGGTCAGTTGCGCTTTTGTGCGCCGGCGACGCTGCAGGGGCGACGACGCTGCAGCGGCGACGCTGCTGCATGGGGTGTGCTGTAGCCCTAGGTGCTGCGCCTGCACAGCACCTTGTGCAGTGGCAATGACTCCTGGCAATGAGCTTGATGTCCTCAAATGTCCACACAGAGTATACTGGTTGTGCTCACAGGTTGTGCTACATCAACAGGGGTGCAACTTATGATGTATCTTATTCCGGGGCCGGTGTGCGGGGAGCGAACCTTAGCGACCGCCCAGAAGCTTTCTGAGCGAACCAATCGGGCCAGGATCATCAGCATATGTCCCCTCCACAACATCGTGGGCGTTTGAGCGGTATTTCAGGAGCACCGCCACTCTGAAGTTCGGCCGGGTGGTCTGCAGACCCCCCCCCCCGGAGCAGCAGAGGCTCCGTGGGGTCGCAGAGTCGACGCGCTGGGAGTCGCACTCGTCAAACCGTCGCAGCAGCACGCGGCCCGCACGTACCGCCCACATCCCCTCCACCGCTGAGAAGGCGCAGATCGACCGCCGGGCCGCGTAGTCGTCGTTAAGGAGCCGTTTTTGGAGCCGTACGAAGAGGTCCCAGACGGGCGAAGATGCGGTTTTGCGACGACCACACGCGATGTGGTATCTGGTTTTTGCTAAAAACGGGCCGCCTAGTGCAGCATCACTAGTACAACACGCAACTACACTGAGGGCTCCACACTAGCCGGTATAGGCGAGCCCCGGCGGCCTCACCGTCGCCGCTCGCGGCGGAGCCGACGGCGGAGCCACGGGCGGGTGCGACCTTTTGGGGGGACATGAGCTCGCCAGGACGTCACCGATGGCTCGGCGCGCCTCTTCCCGCCAGCGCGGGGCGGCCCACCTACAGGAGGGAGGGGGAGGTGGTCGTGAGCTCACTTTGTCGGCCGCGCGCGAGGTGAAAACTGAGTGTGAGGCGCGCAGGAGGCGAGGGTGGGCGCGCCACGCTATAGGGTGCTGGATGAGGACGGGTACGAGGCACTAGCCCCAGCCGTCGGGGGGGTGTTGCCGGCGCTGGTAGATGACCTCTCGGAGAAGAGCCGGAGGGACCTTGGCGCCGGGGTCACGAGGAACTTGCAAGTCGTGGCCGAGGCGGCGACGGGAGCGGTGCAGAGGTGGATCCAGCTCAACGATGAGGCTACCGCGCGCATAATGAAGAGAGAGGAACACATCGAGTGGCTGAGGAAGCTCTTCGCTGGGTGGAAGGAGGCCCGGCCAGCCTTGAGGGAGTCGCGGAGGAGGAGGGATAATGGAGGTAACGTGGGAACAGGCCAACAGCCAGTGGGACGAACGAGGGCCGCGACGGCGGCCCAAACGGGAGGGAGCGGAGACAGTGGGCAGCGAGCGAAGTGGGTGAGACTGATGATGCTCCTTCGACTTAGGGAGCGGTTCAGCTGCTGGGCGGGCTTCAGGGTGGTGCTCACGCGAAAAGGAATCGACGCGATGTACAAAGCATACAACAAGAGGAGAAAGAAGAGGCGGGAGACCAGTGATGACGAAACAGAAGCTAGCGCAGACGAGAGCAGCGCAGACCCGGGGACTGGGGAGCCGGAGCAGACGGCATCGGCCGCCGAGGGAACGTTGGGAAGAGGCGCACGAGGAGGGCGGCGACCTCAACCGACTACGGAGGACCCGTCACCAGACGACGCAGGGCGGACGACGGGGAGGCGGAGCAGACGCGCAGGGCGAGACGAGGGAGGGAGCAGGATGTTGCGGAGATCAGCAGGAGGATGTACGACGAGATTAGGAGCAGCAGGGACCCGAGGGACCATGTGGAAGACGGCTAGTGCTAGTCCCCCATCGGGAGGACGACCCCGGCTAGTTGCCGACCACACCCACAAAGAACCCTGCACAAAGACCGCAGGGCGGGGACCTGTTCCTTTTTACCCATCTCCTAGTAGAGGTGTCCGTTTTATTTATTTATTTAAGTTGGCCGCTCTCACAGCTCCCACACCTATCTCTCTGGTACACAATATTCGAAGCGTCTTGTGGCCTCCTAACTCTCTCTCTCTCTCTCTCTCTCTCTCTCTCTCTCTCTCTCTCTCTCTCTCTCTCTCTCTCTCTCTCTCTCTCTCTCTCTCTGACTCTCCGTAAGACGTCGGAGAAGGCAAGCCGTGAAGTTGTCAACCGTCTCGGCGTCGACAACAACTGGAACTCGAAGCTATCGTGCTGCGGCAACGGCCACCCCTCTAATTGCTCTGACAGGCATGCCTTGCTTTCTCGCGGAGGTGTTCTCCGCGGGGCTGGCGGGGTGTTTTGCATGTTTTTCTTCTTAAATTGTGCCGTGGTTTTCTTCTTTTGCAGGTCGTACACAGTGACGCCCCCGCAGCTTCAGCGGGCATGTCGCTCGGCTACGCCGACCGACTCAAGGAGTATGGGCCAGGGTAAGGTGCTGCGAAAAGAGCTTTACAACAGAACTCCCTCGCACGACACTGCTCACCTGAGGGGTGGCCCGTCTACCGTCTACCGGTAGACCGGGTAGACGGTAGACCGTTTGGTAGACGAGTCTACCCGGCAGTCTACCGGTAGACCGAAATGAACCTACGACCCCAGTCTACCGGTAGACTTGGTAGACCGCGGTAGACTCGTCTACCCCTTTATACTATACCAAAAAAGGAGGGCGACACGACGCCCTCTACGCTGGGGTGCCGGCGCCCTACTGGGCGCCCCCCCCGCTCCCTTCCCCTCAGAGCCCCCCATCCCACTGGTTGCTCACCCACGGCACCGGGCCGGTGCTTGCACTTTGAATGCCGTGGGGCTCCTGCCCGTGTCCGGGCGTGGAGACGCGAGGGTCGCGCCCCCCCTTGCCCCACCACTTTGTGTGTGTCCGGAGACGTTTACCTTACCTTACCTTACTACGCCTACCAGACGTCTACGGCGGGCTACGGCGGGCGCCTGTCCCATGGGCGCAGCCGAGCGCGGCGATGGTCAGTTCTGTAGAGCAAGACGATAGAGAGGGCTCCAGTCCGGCCGTAGCACGGAACCAATCTCGGGGGGGGGCACCGCCAGGCCAGTGTACTCCGTCGTGGCTGGCTCCTCTGAAGAGCGGCATGCGGCCGGTTGCAATGCCGTCGAGGCCGATCCGCAGCACATCGACGAACGCCATGCGCATGAATCGGCTGGTGCCGCGCCCCCGCTGCGACGACATGCAGCCCTCTCGCCGATGCTCCTCCTCGGCCACCTGCTCCATGGCCGCGAGGGCAATGTCTCGCGCGCTCGCCACGGCCCGCTGCCGAAAGTCGAACTTACTCGGTCTTCGCCCGGTTGCCTCCACCCTGAGTGTAGGCGGCGAGGACCACAGCACGACCGCCCTTGGCTTGCCGCTTGCCACGTTTGTCGCCACAGCGCGGCGCAGCAGCGCCGTGAGCGCGGCGGCGTAAGGAGTGGTGGCGTTCCTGGACAGCCACCCCTTCCAGACGGGCCAAATGGCGGGATCCAGCACGAGTGCGTCGGGCACCTCCTTGGCGTCGCCGCCTGGCGGGCGCAGGAGCTCGTGTGTGTCGCGCGGGAACCGCATGTCGGAGTACGTTACGCAGAACTCCCACCTCGCAGCGCCTCGGAGAGCGCTCGCGACGAAGCGCCCAAGGCCACGATGCAGCGCGTCATGGCCAAAGAGGGCGCAGCGCCGGTGGCACGTCGGCACGTTAGCTGAGCATTCCTCGGAGCAGCAGACTGCGGCGGCGTTGTCCGGTGAGTTCTCGAGCGGCGACTGCAGAGACGCGTTGCCAAACAGCATCTCGCGGCCGGGGATCTCGCCGCCACCGAGCAGCTGCGTAGCGAGCGCCATGAAGGCCATCCGGAGGTGTGAGTCACCGGCAATGGCGAGCCACCGATACACGCTTGCCAAGCAGAAGGCGGCCGCGTCCAAGGTGGCAAGAGGCGCCTCCGTCGCGGTCGCTGCCGTGGCATTTGATTGCTCGCACGCCAGATCGCGCACACGCAAGTAGGGCGCCACCTCCCGCAGTGGGCCGCACCACTGAGAGAGGCTCGTTTCCCGCTCCACGTTCGCAGCAGTGCAACAACGCAAGGCGGACATGGCATGGCTGCCGACTTTTTTTATTTCCGAAAGGCGGACGGGAAATTTTTCTGGAGCTTGCGTGCGCGCGCGCTTTCCGCAAGGATAGGATTTAGGTCTTCCTCTCTCGATGCAGACGTCCACTCAAGATGGAGCCGTTTTTCGACAGCGTATGATGCCGCAGGGTGCGACGGCACGTTCTCCAGGCTCCGTTGGCCACGCCCTCTCTCGCGGTCCCTGCTGGATCCTGGCCTTTGTGGGTGAGCACACGACCGCTCCAGTCAGCCCTGACCCTAACAGGGCCGCACACTCGGATGCGCACACTCGGATGGGCGCTCAGGACGGATGCACGCCGCCACGGGGATGTGTACACACACGATCAGGCACAGACGAACCGCACCAGTCAGGCCCAGCACGGCCGCCACCGCTCTTGCTGCCGTCTCCTCGACCGCTCCCGCTGCCGTGTTCAGGGCTCGGGGCGGGAGGGTGGTGGCTCTGGATGACGGAGAAGGCCTCGTATGACCTTGTCCAAACCGCCGACCGCGACGCGCTCATTGGCGCTGCCTTCGCCTTCCGGCAGATTGATCCGTGCGACGCAGGGCGCACGGGCGTCTGGTCTCCGCGCCTTGCGAGCTGTGAACGGCGTCTCTCCACACCCGCGGCTGTCAATAGGCGCACGGGCGTGTGGACGCCGCGCTTCGAAAACAACTCGAAGCGCTGCATCGAGGACGCGGAGACGCCTATTCACAGCCGCGGGTGTGAAGAGCCGCCGTTCACAGCTCGACGCGTGTGAGTAGGACGCGGAGACCCGCCGCGTCTTCTCTTGGTGGCGCCGGCGCCGGGAGGAGCACCCGCCTCCAACAAACGAATTACCGCCCCAGTTCTGGTGATGCAGGTGCGCCGGCGCCGGGAGGAGCATCTGCCCGCGGTGTAAACATCAGCCGCTGTTTCTCTCTCTTTTTTAGGTACGCCGGCGCCGGGAGGAGCATCTGCCCGCGATGTGTCAACCTCAGCGGCTGCGCGGCGGAGCTGTGAACGGCGTCTCTTCACACCCGCAGCTGTGAATAGGCGTCAACATCAGCGGATGCGCGGCAGAGGTCGAGGAGCTAGACCGTCAGCGCGACGGTTGCCGCTGCTCGCTGCGCCGGGGGAGGTCGTGTTGATGGCATCGCCGACCGCGGTCCGTGTCGCTAGGCCGCCGCTGCTCGTTGTCCGGGGGTCTGACATCCGAGGAGGAGGCGGAGAAGGCGGCGGCGTGACGCAGCGGGGGGAGTGGGCGGTGCTGATGAGTGGTCGGTGCGGAGGGAATTGGCTGCCGAAGGAATAGGTCGCGACGCCGGAAGCACGGCTGGGAGGGGAGGGGGCAGGGGGGGGAGGGGCAGGGCGCGTGCGCCGCTAGATGACGCCTTCTCGCCGGAGCTGTGAACGGCGTCTCTTCACAGTTGCAGCTGTGAACAGGCGCACGCATAGCGACGCCTTCTCGCCGGAGCTGCCAGAGAGGTGCTGCAGCTCTCTCTCCTCTGCTGTGAACGGCGTCTCTTCACACCTGCAGCTGTGAGCAGGTGCTGCAGGTCTCTCTCCAAGGCGCGCCGAGCCTCTCACGTGTTGCTCCTGCTGCCGCTAAGATGAGACCACCACTACCTGCTATATCTCCACATATCTCCCCATATCTCCCCATATCTCCCCATATCTCCCCATATCTCCCCATATCTTAGGTGTGCCGGGCCTACTACGTGTGGGAGAAGGAGTGTGCCGCCGCCTAACGGGAGATATGGGGAGATATGGGGAGATATGGGGAGATATGGGAGAAGGAGTGTGCCGCCGCCTAGCGCCGCGCTGGCGGCGGCGAGGGGAGAGGGAGGAGCAGGAGGAGGAGGAGGCAGTGAAGAGGAGCGGCGTCGCCGCTGTAGGAGGAGGCCCCCCTCTCGCCGTGTAGGGGGAGGGGGCGCGTATACGCGGAGCGTTGGAAATAGAACGGAGATGGTGGAGCGCGGCCAGAGCGCGGCCGTTGGTCCGATGGTGTCCGAGTCTCCCTCTGTGCGTAGGGCGTCGCCAAGGGTCGCACACCTTAACCTCTCTCACAGACTAGCGCGGCGGAAAGCATGAAAGCATGGGCGGCACGTTTTCCCGCGATTCTGGGGTATGTCATTTGAAATGATTTCCTTCTGAGGATGTCGTTCTTTCGCATGATTTCTTTCTTTCACACCGCGCTCACCCACGCGCACCGGGCCTTGCACTTTAAATGCCGTGGGGCTCCTGTCGTTAGACGTGGAGACGCGAGGGTTGCCCCCCCGGGTTGTTGCACGAGTATATGGGACACGATGTCTCAAATATGAGGGGCTTTGACTCCTACCAGCTCCTGACGCTATCCCTGGCAGCTCTAATGACCAGGATCAGTAGTGCTATAATAGAGGGTGCCCATACTAGCGCAGGAGCTGCCACACTCGCCCGGACCGTCCCCTTCTGGGGCCGGTTCCGCAGCCCGCGAGAGCCGACAGCGGGGCCGTGCCGCGGGTGCCTACTGCCGAGTGCCACAAACACTGCGCCGTCCCGCCATCACCTACAGGCTGTCTTGTGTGATGGTTGGGATGTCCAAACGCCACCATCTTGGCTCTTGCGACCTCAAACCCGCGAGCTGTATGGGTGGTCCTGACGTCGACAGACGCCCGAGGACCACGGTGAAGCTGAGCTGGAACGAGTCGACAAGTCTCGTCTGAGCCCGTGGCGGTCGCCGGCTGAGTCGCTGTGCACGGACCGGTACCTCAGGCGTCACCTCCGCAGCCTCAGGTCTCACACTCCATCACCTCCGCCGGGACGCCGTCGGTGGCACGCTCGGCGGCGAGTTTGTTGCAGCCCCACAGCGAGCACGGCGTCGAGCCTGCTGACTCCAGTTGGTTCGGCACACTCGGTGGGGTCCACTGAGTGTGCCGAACGCGCGAGCGGTGCGTCCCGGCAGCCCGCGCTGGCTGCGGAGCTGCAACAAACTCGAGACACGCTTTTTTGGGACATTTTCGACGCTTTTGTCCCATATACTCGTGCAACAACCCCCCCTTGCCCCACCACCTCGTGTGTGGAGAAGTTTGCCTTACCTTACCTTACCCTTATTTCTTTCTCCTTGCCCCACCAGCTAGCACACACGACATCGGCGCACATATCACAAAAGAGAAATCATCGTTTGCCAAGTGCTCCAAGTGCTCCAAGTGCCCCTAGCGCCTGTGAAAGACCTTTCCTTCATGCCGTGGGGCTCCTGTCGTTAGTCATTCGATGGCCAGAGACCAGAGTGCGATTGTGTGTGTGCGGAAGTTGGGTTTGTCGGGAGGGAGGGGCAGGCTGCTCACCCACGTGCACCGGGCCAGTGCTTGCACTTTGAATGCCGTGGGGCTCCTGCCCGTGTCCGGGCGTGGAGATGCGAGGGTCGCCCCCCCTTGCCCCATCACTTTGTGTGTGTGGAGAAATCTACCTTACCTTACCTTACCTTAGACGTGGAGATGCGAGGGTTGCCCCCCCTTGCCCCACCAGCACCACCGCTCGTGCACGTGGAGAAGTTTACCTTACCTTACCTTACCTTTCCTTTCCTTCATGTCACATGCTGATAACATTCTTTTTTTCTCTTTTCCAATGTCCCCATCCATCCGATCGGCCATCCCAATAGCAAAACACAATAGACTACTTTGCGAGAGATACGTACGTGCAGCTGCGCGAAGGCGTCACCCAACGGCCGCCGCGCGGCCGCTCAGGTTCGAGGCGCCGTCCTCCGTCCATGTGCCCTCGAGCCTCATGGTGTCGACCGCGGCCGGGAAGGAGTCGGCGAGGCTGCGCATGATGGCGGCGTTGTGCTCCGGGCCGAGCGTCTCGAGCACCGCCTTGATCGTCACCTGGTCGACGGAGGTGTGCAGCCACGCCCGCTCGTGGAAGATGTCCTTGACGCTCGCGCCCGCCGCGGCGAGCACGCCGGTCAGCTCCGCGATGCCGCCCGGACGGTCGCTCACCCGCAGCGTGAGGCGCACAAGCCGCCCGTCGGCGGCGAGGCCGCGCTCGATGACGCGGCCGAGCACGTTGACGTCGATGTTGCCGCCGCAGAGCGGGACGACCACCCGCTTCCCCTTGAGGTCGGGTCGGTCCAGCGGGCCGCCGGGCAGGAGGGCGGCCAGGCCCGTCGCCCCGCCGCCCTCGACCACCATCTTTTGCCCCTCGACCAGCCGCAGCACCGCGAGCGCGACGTCCTTCTCGTCCACCCGCACGACCTCGTCGACCCACCGCCGCGCCACGGCGAAGGCGTGCGGGCCGACCTGCGGCACCGCGAGGCCGTCGGCGAGCGTCGGCAGCACCTCCGCCGTCACCGGGTGTCCCGCCCGCAGCGCCGCGGTGTACGAGGCGCACCGCCGCGGTTCGACACCAACCACCTGCGGGCGCCTCACAGCTAGAGGTGTGAAGAGACGCTGTTCACAGCCTCCTCCGGACGTCGGGGTCGGAGGGCGGAGGCTCGGGTCGAGGGTTCGGAGGCCAGACACCCGCCAACCTGCACCGCCGGGTTGAGCGTCTTGGCGGCGAGGGCGATGCCGGCGATGAGGCCGCCGCCCCCGATGGGCACGACCAGCACCTCGCAGTCGGGGACCTGCTCCAGCATCTCTTAGGGTTAGGGTTAGGGTTAGGGTTAGGGTCAGGGGCAGTCGGGGACCTGCTCCAGCATCTCTTAGGGTTAGGGTTAGGGTTAGGGTTAGGGGCAGGGGCAGTCGGGGACCTGCTCCAGCATCTCTTAGGGTTAGGGTTAGGGTTAGGGTTAGGGGCAGGGGCAGTCGGGGACCTGCTCCAGCATCTCGATGCCGAGCGTGCCAGTGCCCGCGATGACCTCGACGTCGTCGTAGCCGTTGATGTAGGTCAGTCCCTGCAGCGCGGGGTCCTGCAGCGCATAGTCCTTGGCCTCGCCGATGTGGCCTCCGTGGATGATGATGTTCGCGCCGAAGAGCCTGCAGTTCTGGACCTTGGTCATCGGCGCGACGGTCGGCATCACCACTGTCACCGGCACGCCCAGCTGCGAGCCGTGCCACGCGAGGGCTAGCGCGTGGTTGCCGGCAGAGGCGGCAATCACGCCGCGCCGCCGCTGCTCCTCGCTGAGCGACATGATGGCGTTGCGTGCGCCGCGCTCCTTGAAGGAACCCGTGACCTGCGACTGCTCCTTCTTCAGGTGGATGCTACAACCCGTCATGTTGGAGAGGTGGTACGACGGCCTGCACTCGGTTCGGACGATGCCCGACCTGATGCGGTGGTGCGCCCGAACGACGTCCTCGAACCGGACACAGTCGTCGGCTGGAAGGTCATGAGCCGCTGCGGAGGAGAAGGCGCGCAGGCGGCGAGACGAATCGCGCAGGCAAGGACGGAGCCGACGCATTGTTCGAGCAGTGGCGAGTAGAGGCACACGCTAGCACTCTCGAGGTCTCTTGGAGCAGAGCCCCGGGCATGGCTCTCCCCGCAACTCTCTTGACTGTTCTTCACCTTACTACATACATACATACTCTCTTGCTAACATGCGCGCCCCACCGAGACTGTGGTGGGCGCGCTGCGGCCGCACGTCTACCTCCGTCATAGTGCCACGACGTGCGGCCTAGATTTAGCACACGCGCCTCAGCTTGCATACACTCATACATTGGATTGTCATCGCCTGTGAGTGCGAGAAGGGCTAGCCGCAGGCAGCTAGCCCATGAGGAGAGCGTCCATAGACACCTCACTAGACCCCACATACGGTCTCGTCCGTGCCTCGCAGGCCGGTGAGATTGCTAGAGGTGGAGCAAGCTGCTCTAGCCTCACATGTCACTTCCTGTCGTCTTTTGTTTGAGTTGTGCCCTTGTTTGTGCCCTTGGCACCGTGGAGTGCTGGGGGGGGCGACAGGGAGGATGTGGCCCTGAGTTATGTGTACGCCGACTCAGGGTGTGTGGCAGCCAGCTGGCTGTGTGTCTTGTGAGCTTGTTTGTGTCTGTGTGTCGCTCGTGCGTGTCGTCATCATCTGTCCAGCGTCCACCCATACCGCGTTGGTGTCCAGTCCGAGCCTGGCTGTTCTTCACCTTTCTACCTACCTACCTACCCCGGAACCGGACCCGACCCAATGGGTCCCTCGGAGGGGTACCCGTGGGTCGGCGGGGCCTCTACTCGCCAGGGGCAGAAGTCTCCGGCAGAGCTGTGCAAAGAATTCTTAAGATACACGCCTCTCTCACAGCACACTGGCACGACAAGGGCGCGGACTGGCGCGGACTGGCACACAAACCGCAAGAATTCTAGGAATACATGCCCCTCTCACAGCGGGCGCGCTGCGGTCGCACGCCTACCCAAGACATATGCTACGAGTCCCAAGTATGGGTTCGGGGACTGTTCACAGCCAGTGCGGGGTTCCCTGGGGGTACAGGAACTGGCGCGACCTCGCCGTGGAGCTCGCTGAGGAGGGCTCCGCGGGATCGCGGTCTGCTCCTCGTGGCAAGAGGGGCAAGGCGCGTGCCGAGGGCAGGGAATGGGCGAGGCACGCGGCCTGGCGGGAGGCGGTCCGCCTGCCGGTCCCTTGTTCTCGCGCCCCAAAGGCGTTCTTTTTTCGCACAACACACCACCTGAATTCGTCGCGTGTATGCTGACGTTGGCGATGTCTGCTGCCGCCCTCGCCAGTCCAGATGCGCGCATGTCCGGCTGCTACGACCGCCTCGCCGGCCGGCTGCTCGCACGCCTCCGCCTCGGCGACGCTGCGGCCACCTCTCCAGAGCGGCCGTGGTGGGTTGCCATTGCTGGCGGCCCCGGAGCGGGAAAATCGTCCCTCGCGAGCGCCGTCTGCGAGCGCGTCAACGCGGTCTCGCCCGGCGCCGCCGTCGTCCTTCCGATGGACGGTTTCCACTACTCCCGCGCCGAGCTGCGCGCTCTCGACCCGCCCGACGCCGGCTCGCTTCTGCCTCGGCGAGGCTCGCCGTGGACGTTCGACGCGGAGGGGCTCTGCGCGTCGCTGACGCGCGCCAAGGCCGCGTCCGAAGGGAGACTACCCGTTTACTGCCGCGTCAAGTCGGACCCTGTGCCGGCGAGATGTTAGCGAGATTTCGCCGAGACTTCCCCGAGACGTCACGTTCCGCCGGTGACGGTGCGGGCGAGGGACGGCCGTGGCTTGAGGGTGGGAATGACCATTCATCAATCCATAGGATAGGGTGCAGCTGCCTAATTAACTAATTGATACTAATTACTCCATAGGATGGCGTGCAGCTGCTGCCTTCGCACAAGCTCGTGCTGGCGAGCGGCGCTAGCTGCTTCCATGCCTTACACCACTACACTCTCACACCACTACACTGTGGCAGTGGTACCCGAGCCATGTGACCGCTGTCCCTAACCCTGACCCTAACCCTGACCCTGACCCTCACCCTCACCCTCACCCTAACCCTGACCCTGACCCTGACCCTGACCCTCACCCTAACCCTGACCCTAACCCTGACCCTGACCGTCACCCTCACCCTCACCCTCACCCTCACCCTCACCCTCACCGTCACCCTCACCCTCACCCTCACCCTCACCCTCACCCTCACCGTCACCCTAACCCTGACCCAACCCTGACCCTAACCCTGACCCTACCCCTCACCCTGACCTTGACCCTACCCCTGACCCTGACCCTGACCCTGACTCTTGGGGTTTGCGCACAGGTGGAGGACAGCCTCGGGTGCTCTCAGCCTCGGGTACTCTTTGTCACGCCGGGGCCTGCATGCAGGTGGAGGGCAACTACCTGCTGCTGGGCGAGGAGGAGGAGCGGTGGGCGCCGCTCCTGCCCCTGAAATGTCTAGGAAGTGTCTAGCAAGTGTCTGGGAAGTGGCTAGGAGGGGTCTAGGAAGTGTCTAGGAAGTGTCTAGGAAGTGTCTAGGAAGTGTCTAGGAGGTGTCTAGGAGGTGTCTAGGAGGGGTCTAGGAGGTGTCTAGGTGGGCGCCGCTCCTGACCCTCTGGGACGAGAAGTGGTTTGTGGCATGCGCGTCCGCAGAGGAGCGCGCGATTCCCCGAGAGTCCCCGAGAGTCCCCGGGATCCACCGAGATGATTCGAGATTCCCCGAGATGATTCGAGATCGGAGGCGTGTCGTGCGCAGAGGAGGCCAATATCTCGCGCACATCTCGAGGCCCCACCCATCACGCGCCGCCGTCGAGTCGCTGGTAGGAGCAGCGGCGGAGGCTGATCTCGCGCCACCTCGAGACGTGGAACGAAGAAAAGGCGCGGCACATCTCCGTCAGTCAGTGGTACACACACGTCCCTAGCACGGACGACGGGGCACACGCACTCGCGGAACACACGGGGCATTGCACACGAGGGCGGTGTGTGTGATCTCAGGGAGAGGCACCACCACCACACAGACGACAGTGCCAGAGTCAGACGGGCCGTAGTTGGAGCCCTCACTCACCGACTCAGCGGCACATCTCACTCGTCCGTAGTATGTGGAAGGCAGACCGCACGGTCTTGTGACGCGAGCAGGCGCGCGGCCAGCAGCATCGAAGTAGCACTGCTTTGTAGCCATCCGTCCTCACTGGAGCGGGACGGGCGCGCGGGGCCCAGGCGCGAGAAGAGGGCGCAAGCGCGAGGAAGTGGGGAAAAGGCCGGCTGTCGGTCAGTGTGTTGCCCAGGCGGCCCGACCACTCTGTGTGTGCTAGTGTGTGTGCGGAGAGGGGGCTCCCGGCGGCCCCTCACCTCTCCCTCTACCTCTCTCCCGGCCAGGCGGCGCGCTGGGGAAGCGGCGAGGAGGGCGCTGCCGCGCGAGCGGACGCCAACGACGTGCTCAACATGCAGAGGGTGGCGCCGACGGCGCGACTCGCCGACCTGAGGATCGAAAGTTTGTGAGAAAGAAATAAGATGCGAATGCGCGTGCTGCCGAGACCCGACTAAAGTCAATTTATGATGTAACTTATTCGGTGCCACGGCATTCCGAAAGTGCAAGGCCCAGTGCGCGTGGCCGTGGGTTGAAGAGTAAAGGTACATCTAGCGAGTGCGAGGAGACGGGAGACGCCTGTCCACACCGTGACCCCGGCGCCCCGCCGCCCCGGCCACCACTTTGTGTGTGTGCGGAGAAATCTACCTTGCCTTACCTTATCCTACCACAGAGAAGGGCAACCCTCGCCGCTCGCGTCTCCACGTCTGACGACAACACTTAGTCGAGAGTTTGTTCCGGCGTGTAGTTAAAAAACGCGCATGTACGCCGTACGGTCGTCCGAGGACGCGCCCCGGCCCCTTCCTTTCGGCTCGCGCGCAAGGCCTTCAGCTTCACCCGAAGCCGTGCATCATCTGGGCCTGCACGTCCTCAGCGCGGATCTGACCGGGCAGAGCCTACACTCACCCGCCACTCGCCACTCAATTCGTGATGCACGCGCCGTCCGTACGCGGAGGGTCTTGCCGGGCAGGTGTGGCCGAGGGGTGGCCGAGGGGTGGCCAAGGGGTGGCCGAGGGGTGGCCGAGGGGTGGCCGAGGGGTGGCCGAGGGGTGGCCGAGGGGTGACCGAGGGGTGGCCGAGGGGTGGCCGAGGGGTGGCCGAGGGGTGGCCGAGGTGAGGCCGAAGGGTGGCCAAGGGGTGGCCGGGGGGTGGCCGAGGGGTGGCCGAGGGGTGGCCGGGCAGGGGTGGCCGAGGGGTGGCCGGGCAGGGGTGGCCGAGGGGTGGCCGGGGGGTGGCCGAGGGGTGGCCGAGGGGTGGCCGGGGGGTGGCCGAGGTGAGGCCGAGGTGAGGCCGAGGGGTGGCCGAGGGGTGGCCGAGGGGTGGCCGGGGGGTGGCCGAGGTGAGGCCGAGGGGTGGCCAAGGGGTGGCCGAGGGGTGGCCGAGGGGTGGCCGAGGGGTGGCCGAGGTGAGGGCGAAGGGTGGCCGAGGGGTGGCCGAGGGGTGGCCGGGGGGTGGCCGAGGGGTGGCCGGGGGGTGGCCGAGGGGTGGCCGGGGGGTGGCCGGGGGGTGGCCGAGGGGTGGCCGGGGGGTGGCCGGGGGGTGGCCGGGCAGGGCGCCCTCATGTTGTTAAAGACTGTGTACGCCGACTCGCCGCCGTCGGCCACGCCGAGGTTTGCAAAGATCGAGTAGATGGCCGCCTATTCACAGCAGTGGGGTGTGAAGAGGCGCCGTTCACACCTCCTCGGCAAAGAGCGAGTGGATGGCCGCCTATTCACAGCAGTGGGTGTGAAGAGACGCCGTTCACACCTCCCTGGCAAAGAGGGAGTGGATGGCCGCCGCGATAAGAAAGGGCATCGCGAGACCGACCTGCGGCGAGCAGGGGCTCGGGTAAGGCAATCTCGGGTGATCTCGGGTGATCTCGGGTGATCTCGCGAGACCGACCTAAAGGAAGCAGGCGCAGGGAAGACTTCTCCACACACACGGGGTGGTGGGGCAAGGGCCAGGCTAGTCCCTCGCGACTCCACGTCTAGACAGGCGGGAGCCGCACGGCCTTCAAAGTGCAAGGCCCGGTGCGCGTGGGTGAGGTGTGTGTGTGTGTGTGTCCGTGTCTGTGTATGTGTATGTGTCTGTGTTGTGTTGTGGGTCTGACCGCGCCTCCCTCGCCGCAACCAGCAAGCCAAGCCAGAGCGCGGCGCGAGCCCACGTCCCTCTCTCCACAGCGGCAACGGCGGCGCGCGCGGCCGGCGCGTGCGCGCGCGCCGCGCGCCACGCCGCCGCCACCCCCTCCGCCGCCCGCGCCGCCAGCCGCCGCGCCTCGAGCTGCAAGTACTGACGCTCGTACTGCCGACGCTCGGCGGCGGCGACTGCGGCGGCGGCGGCGGCGGTGTCGCTGACGCCGCGAGAGTACCGAGCGGACCACGCGGTGATGGAGCGCCGCGGGAGGGACTCCGCCGCCGCCGTGTCGTCAGAGCACTCGACGCCTCGAGAGAGGTGGGACAACGGCGTCGCTCCGTGCAAGAGCCTCCGTAAGTGCGAGTGTGAAGCGCGGGGCGACGGGAGGCGGCCGAGTGCGTGCGATGTCGAGTGCTAGTTGGCAATGCAGCATATATGTCTGGGCTCGGCGCCAGCGCAGCTCAGCCGCAGACGGGCAGTCGCATCACGAGGAAGGCCTGAAGCGCTCGCGAGGCGGCGGCGCAGCACGCCGACTCGGTCCGACGCGCGCAGCTGGACGACGTGCGTCCGTCCGTCCGTCAGGCAGTGGCAGTGGAAGGCCAGGTCGGCCATCGCTCGCAAAAGAATTTAAACAAAACAATTTTACCACATCAGCGGCTCGAGGTTCTCGAGGTGGATATCCTCTGGCCGCGCCGCACAACACTGGAAACACACGGCAGGGGTGGCGGGACGGTTGTGGAGCGAAGTGGCTGTAGCCAGCCTTAAGCATCGATGGGATAATAAAATGAGATTACCAAACACTTGGTTGCACCGCCTTACACTGACGTTCCCTGCTTTCACCCTTCTCTATTACGGTTCTCTGATCGCCAGACAGCCGGCGCGCTCCCCGCGGCCCGGTGGTCGTCCCGGTGGAGGGAGGCAGCGAGATGGTGGAAAGCAGAAGCCCGAGATAGCGCAGCGGCACAGGGGTCAGGGATCATGGGACATGCACATGACATGGACATGGACATGGACATGGACATGGACATGGACATGGACATGGACATGGACATGGACATGGACATGGACATGGACATGGACATGGACATGGACATGGACATGGACATGGACATGGACATGGACATGGACATGGACATGGACATGGACATGGACATGGACATGGACATGGACATGGACATGGCCGCGCCGAGGCGTACTCCAGCGAGAGAATGAGAGGTCCTCAACAGCAGAGGTCCTCACTCACAGCAGAGGTCCTCACAAGACCTCACAAGACAGAGGTCCTCACAGCCCCGAGGGGACACACTTTCTCACGCATGCTCGGGGCCGACTGCACGCTAAAGGCTACACGCGCGCACACCACTTGCAGAGTGGCTCTCCCAGGCGCTCACCCCACGGCGGAGGCACGCCAGGCCCCGGGCAGCCGGCCGTCACTCGCCTAAGCGCCTAAGCGGCCTAAGCGGGGGGTGCTTAGGGTGCTTAGGCGCTTAGGCGGCCCTTGCGAGCGTGGCGGCGTGGTGATATCGTAATACAGGTGACTCCGATGACACTCATGATGCCACTGCTAGTGTCATCGCTCAGAGAGCAGCCTCACGCACGTCCACTGTCTATCACTGGCCCTGGTCGCACACTGGACTGCCACTGAAAGTGAGAAACGCCGGGCAGCGTGACGCGCAACTTTACCCTCCCATACGTGTTTGTGCTCCTCCTTCGCTGTCCATCTCCTCATCTATCTCTTTCTTTCCCGCCTGGGCGGGTGGCGCGGGCGCGCGAGGAAAAAAATAAAAAAAAATGGCTCGCCTGATTCACACATAGGTTGCTAAGAAACAAGAGGCTCACATGCCACCAAATTCTTTCTTTATACTAAAAGGAGGGCTACACGACGCCTCCTCGCTGCTCGCGCGAGCGAAATTCTTTCCAAACCGCCCGTCTACACGGGCGGAGGCGCCGGCGCCGGGTGTGTAACACACGGCCGCAACGAATGCCCAGCCCCTCGGCGGTCCGCTCGGCGTGCGAGGACGCCGCGCGGGCGCTTGCCGCATGCACCGACGAAAGCTGCACTGCAACGATGCACGTGCGCCTCGCGACCTGCATCGGCCAGCAGGCCCGGCCAGCCACAACCTACCCAGCACGCACATTGCGCACGCCCACTAGCACGACTCTCTGAAACAGCAGACTTGGCTCGCTGGGCAACTAGTCTCTGAATTGGCCTAGCGGCCCAGCATCAAATTCGGGCTCAACGGTGGGAGCAACGCCGACACCGGACCGGTCGTGCCACCACAGGTGTGCAAGGCGGAGGCTGACGCGTTTGCTGCGTACCGGTAAGCACCCCAAGGCACCTCAGCGACACCTCTGCTATAGACCTCGCCAGCCTGTTGCTTGCTCAGCAGTACCACCCACAATCCATCGGCGATAACGTATCACTGCCCTTTTCCCCCACGCAACCCCACTCCCCCCTCCTCCCTCCCTCCCGGTGTAGCCGGCCGTCCGACGCAGAGGAGGCGCGCACGCCTTGCGAGGCAGCAGCGTGCGCACAGTTAGGACTCACAGCCGAAAATTGGACTAGGCGCAACGCGCCTTTGCACAGATGCAGCAGTGCACTGTGCGATGGGCGATCGAGTCAGAGCGCTATCATGTTGACGTGAGCCTGCTGCAGTGAACGCGTTGTCCTCACACGGCACCGTGGGCGTGGCTGAGACGCGGCAGCCCTCCTCTTGCGGTGTCCTGCAAGTCGTTGTACCGTAACTACACAGCCATCGCCGCTGTACCGTAACTACACAGCCATCGCCGCTGTACCGTATCCGTAACTACACGGCCAGAGCTGCGAGAGCGCCCGCCGGTACGCACGCCATCGCCCGTGCGCGGGAAGCGGGCGAGGCTGCCTCCCCCTCCTCGTCCAGGAAGCCTGAAGCAACAGATGTGAGTCGGCTCTCCCCTCCTCCTCCAGGAACCGTGAGAGAGAGAGAGAGACGCAAGGCACAGCCGCGGGCCTATCCACGTCTCGGCTCATCCCGGCTCCATCCCTCACCCGTCTGCTCGTCTCGCACCACTGCTCTGTTGACCGCGCCTAACAAATGGCCATCAGCAGGTATAGTCATGAGCAACCGGTCGCCGGCCGGTTGCTGCTCTGTTGGAAGCGCCTGTCGCCACGGCCCGGTTTGCCTTTCGGGCGGCGCCTGCTCACCAAACAACGTGGTCAATGAACAAGCAATGGTGGCCCGTCTGCTGAACACAGCCCCACGCCCCCCCGACCCTTCAAAGCGGCCGGCAGGGGTTGTCTCGGGAGCATTGCCACGGAGGGGTGTGTCGGAGGTGTCTCGGAAGTGTCTCGGAAGGTCTGAGAGGTGTCTCGGTCGGAAGAAGGGCCGCGCCTCCGACGATGACGTCCGGGTGCGTCTCCTTGGCGAGGCGGTAATAGGCGAGCTTCACCTGAGCGGCGGGCAGGGCGGGGTCACGCACCAGCAAATCTTCCGCGCCGCGGTCTCGGGAAGGAGGGACTGGAGACTGGATCGCAGCGCTCATGTGGCGTGCGTGGCAGCGAGGATAAGGAGAGAGCCGGT